GAATTTTAAATAATGTTTTCAAAGCATTGAATGATTGCAAAGAATTTATGATTGAATAAAACAAATGGATTATTGGATACCAATTGTATGCTCATTACGACAACACCCCCACCACTGCCCCCAACCCCACGACACCCTATATATGAGGTGTCCTATCGTGTCGTCCATGTCTTGGCCGCAGTTGTCCTCATCATCGCTCACTTCGTGGACAATGGACTCCATGTTTGCGTCCGATTTGTTCATCGAAGACACTCTCTTCAGCTCTGTGTCCGTCGAGTCTATCGAAGAGGTGACGACCAGTGATAGTGTTGTGTCGGTGTCTGCATCGCATCCGTCCACCGAAGCTGAGAGTCGAATCGTGTCTGACATGAAGCCGAAGAGACCGCGCGGACGACCGAAGACCAGCCAATCAGAAGAACAACGACAGCAAAGGACGAAAGCACTTAACGTTATGGCGGCCAACAGATACCGGCGCCGCAAGAAGGAGGAGACCATCAGTTGGCACAACAGACTCGTCGTAGAGAAGAATAGCAACGAATGGCTGCGGAAGAAGGTATCCGAACAACTGGTAGACAAACTAAGACTCATCGCATCAATCCATCCACTTGTGCCCCATATGTCAGACAATCAAAGACAACAGTTTGACACCATTTGCCACTCAAGCGAGTGATGGTCTGCCATCACATCCACTCTTTCTCTCTCTCTGTCATCAATGCCTCTCTCTTTCTATCATATCATTTAGTGTTATATAATTAAGTCATAAACTAATCATTTGTGTCAATAATATGTACAAAGAGTGCAATATATCTGCCATTCATTGAATGCATACATTGGTGTGAATCCAGTGTTCATTGCATTTGACATTCAAATTGTCTGTTTGTCTGTCTCTGCATTTCCTTCCCTTTAATGTTTAAATGCAATCCAATAGCCAATGACAGCTCACTAAACATACAGTCAACACTACATACATACCATAACGTAGTGTTTATCGGCTTAACAGCGATCAGTGTCTGCCAATGGGCTCATCCTAATCGGCACAACACTTGGACCCGTGTTTTGCAAACTTGTGTCGCATTCGTGTCCTCTTATTGAAGGCAATGTCGCACTCATTATAACGAGTGTTGGTTTGCATCGCAATACAAGTGGTGTCTTATAATTGCCATCAAAATAGTGAACAAATAAATGGAGTGTCGGTGCGAACGGCCCTGAAAATGGTCAGTCACTATAAGCCAAGTGTTGTTTGCGTTGATCACTCGCGGCGTTACTGTCAGTCCTATTGAACAAACATTGACTACTATTTTGACATAACTTTCCACTATTTGATAGTTTTTTGTAATCATATTGTGTTTGAATTAAAAGTAATACAACTTTTGTACCATTGATTTGATTTGACATTTATAGTGAGTAAATATAATCTCTTTTATCTCTTATTTGCTAATCGTTTCCAACACTTAATACTCTTCTTATCTATACTTTGGACTAAACTATTGAAACAAATCTCAATAATAAATGTCATTTCCATTCAATACTATTTAGTCATCAAATGATTTGCGAGAATTGATTGCCATTTGCAGACCGTTTGAGCCAAACATGAATTTCCTCTCAAAACTGGTATTTAATGTCATTTCGATGACTATTTCCAAATGATTGCAAACTTTGATCCAATTGAGTGTCAATGCATTCACACGAATGACTCGTTTGTGTTCTTCAGGCCTTTGCGGACAACATGTGGTCATCGGACGTGTTGTCGACATTGTCTGCAAATCGCGACAAAATCCACTTAATTGTGGCCACAGTTGGCGCCACCCTTACGGCCATCAAGTTATACGATCTCTACGACAATGATCTCCGTATGCATTGACCACTCGTGCCATCAATGAGACAATCACTCACTCTTTGCGTCCATTGTTTGCAGTGAATGTGAAGACACTGAAGGAGCAGTCCTTCCGACTGATGATACGCCTGCCATACCTGCGAGGAATGGCAGCCAAACAGCTGTCAGACGTGGACCACACCATCTCCGAGCAGATCCGCGCCATCTTTGGTTCGCATGAATTCATGACACGATTGCCGACAACNGACCAGTGAGCGGTCGGGCAGAGTCTGAGCCATACCATAGACAACGCCCAGACCTTCGCCTGTTTCTGTCGGAGTCTTCAGACACTCATTGACAACAGTCTTAAAGTCTGAGAGGAAGGCGTCGGCGACACCGGTCTGTGCGTGCATTAGAGTCAGACAGATGTGCACCGCAGACGGGAATTGCAGCGGATTTAGACTCCAACCCATTTCAGACATCTTATCGCTATATGTAGTGATTAGAAGTACAAACACTTTGACATATTTGAGTTCATTTGAGTGAATGGTTGTCCAAACCTGAGCCTAAAGATGTTGAACCGATCGGACCTAACGGCGATGACAGACATGAGTGGATCGCCTATAATCTGAATGCCGTCCACTTTAGCCATCTCTGCCTTCAAGTATTGTTGAGTTTTCATAATCTTTTTGGTGGACTCGACGTAACCGTCGAAACCAAAGTGCAAAAGAGTGGCCCAACAGTTGGCTATATTAGCGCCGCAACGACTGCCGGCCAGAGTGGGCGTGGCGTATATGCCTCCCGGCCAGTCCGTCTGCACTGAGAACTGATGTCTTCGGTACTTCTTATTGCTATACATGATAACCGACGACCCTTTGGGAGCGTAACCGTACTTATGAGTGTCCGCCGAAATACTGGTCACTCCCGGCACGGAGAAGTCAACGGCAGGAATGGGATAACCGGCCGATCGCATGAATGGCACCAAAAAGCCACCCAAACAACAGTCCACGTGAACGGGGATCGAGTACTTGAGGCCCAACTGCAAGACAAATGACATTCAAATGAATCGTTGAATGAGTGGTGAATGAGTTGATGACATACTTTGGCGATGTCTTGGATGTCATCAATGATACCGTGCGGGTAATTACAAGCGGATCCAACCAACAGCACTGTGTTGCTAGTGATGGCACTTCGCATTGCTTTGAGGTTCACTTTGTAGGTGTCTTTGTGGACGTCAATCATCTTCACCCGAATGCCCAACAGTTGCGTCGCCTTTTGGAAGGCCGCGTGTGCGGTGACGGGCGCCACCACTTCCGCCCGAGTGATGCCTCTGTGGTGTCGCCCATAATCGCGCGCCGCCTTCACCGCCAGTATTATAGACTCCGTTCCGCCGCACGTAAGGGTTCCGCAGCTGTCGGCGTCGCCGCTGAAGAGGTTGCAAACCATTCGCACGACTTCGGCCTCCATTTTGTTGACTCCGGGAAAGACATCCGGATGTAAGGGATTGGTGTACGCCGTCTGCGAGTACACCCGAGTCATGAGTTCCGTCAGCTCCGAGTTCGCGTCACAATAGACCGTCCCTTCAGTCAAACACAACACCCGTTAGTATAGCATACGAGTGGAAAGGGAGGAAAGGGAGGCAGACCTGAGGCGCGACCCCTCCTCCAGTCGATGTGTCCGATGTGCGCGTATTCGTCCAAATGCGCCACTATTTGGTCCGATTGAAGACCGGTTGTCGGCAATCGTGTCATGAATTCATGCGAACCAAAGATGGCGCGGATCTGCTCGGAGATGGTGTGGTCCACGTCTGACAGTTGTTTGGCTGCCATTCCTCGCAGGTATGGCAGGCGTATCATCAGTCGGAAGGACTGCTCCTTCAGTGTCTTCACATTCACTGCAAACAATGGACGCAAAGAGTGAGTGATTGTCTCATTGATGGCAC